ATTATCGGCCAGGTTGGCACAATTAACTAACTCACTAGGTTTACAGGACCTGGCATTTGGACGCATTTCGATTTTCTCAACGAAAATAAGAGCAGCGTTCACTTTTACCTCCTAGCATTGATGCTGACTTTTATCCATTTAACGAGACACATGTATATCCAAATTCATTTTCTTCTAAGCCTTCTAATCTCAAAATTCTCTGTGTGGTATGCCTATCTCTACAGACACGTCAGTTTGCTGTGAAGGTAAACTGAGTGTTAATCCCAGTAAATCCGTTTCATTCGTGAAAGCATTACTTCAGTAATAAATGTAAACGTCAAAAAGACCTTAGAGAGTAAATATCAAATGCAAAGACAATACAATGCAGCGGAGATTACCATACTGACTCACCCAAGTGACCCTTTCGATATTTTACATCAAATGCTGTAAAATAAGTTTTTTTGTGCGGTTTCGCCCATAACTTTAGTGTTAAGCACGGCAGGACTATTTTGGCTTGGCCCAGCTTCCTCCTCTCCACAGCCACCTTCTCAATCCAAACGCTTCTTGTTAGCTGTCATCAAGTTGGCACCTGATTAATGCGTCCCTGTGCCCGGCAGATGAAACTCCACTGGTCCAGTGCCCCCACCCACACCCACCCCCAGGCCATTACAGATTTGACCAGTGTGATCCCTAGTGTCGTCATGGGCTGGTTTTTGGAAGTTGTCGTTTGATGTTATTTCAACGTGGAGTGTATGAAGGTATGGAGGTGGACGGAGTCTGATCTGTCAGCCAGGTCACGCCTGGTGATGTCTCCTGAGAGACACACTGGGAACCTCTCTCTTCTCTCTCCCCTTTTGCCTCCCTGCCCACTGGGCCTCTGTGTCTGCCTCCAAGGGTGGCCTTTGGTGGGCCATGAGACCCTGAGAACTATTGGTGCCCTGCCATGTTTCCACTGACCCTGAGTCCAGCGACTGCACCCACCAGCTGGTGACCTTCCCGCATGCCGCTTCACCTGACTGCCATCGGCCTGCGGCTGTGTGAGTCTGAAGACAGCTCTGGTTAGCCTTGGAGCCATGGACTTGAGTTGCCAGGATGCCTTCTCATTGTAGGATTTCTTCTGGATATAAAGCTCATTCTCACGCAAAAAAAAAAGAAAGAAAGAAAAATAAGTGGCCAACAAATACACAGAAGGAAATGTTTAACCTTTGTTAGTAAGCAAAGAAATAGGATCTCCCTGATTCTCATATTGGCAAAAATCATGTGGTAGATTACATTATTCTCCCAAAGTATTAACTGCCCTTACTTCTCGAGCCTCAATCTCAGCCAAAATAACCTGGTTTTACTCCTGAGATGTGAGCAAGTGTGGCACGTGCCACGTCTGACTCAAAGCTCTCAGAGTTTGTTGTCCTGCGATTCTACTGTCTCTCTGTTCCTTCTGATGTCAGACTGAGATGGGGTTGCTCCCTCAGTTCATGTTCTGGAATAAAAGCAAAGCTTAAGGCAACCCACAGCCGAAAGACAGGTGAGGGTGAAAGAAATATTTTGTGTAAGCCACTGAGGTTATAGGAAGGTGTAATGCAGTCAATTGTTTAATATGGCTCTTCTAGCCATAGTCTTGATGCTCCACCAATCAATTTTATTTTCCTGATGGATATGGGTAAGAGAAGATGGTATAGGTAGGATTATATGACTCAGTTGTGATTTAATACTAACAGAATTCATTGTTATTCCCATCCTGCTGGGAATACAATGAGCCATTTAAGTAGGAAGTGGGGAATCTCACCACCAGCAAGTGAGAAGTGTCAGGACGGACCATGTCATTTGGGCCCCGAGAGCCCCTCCCACTGAACCTTTTTGATCCAAGAGGCAGCTGTGACACCAGAGAGCAGCAGAAAAGTGGCAGAGGGGTGGTGGAAGTAGAATCAGGAATGAGAGCATGAGTGAGATAGAGCAGTGGACTTCCCAGCCCAAGCGGAAAGGAAAACTGAGTGCCTGCAGGGGAGGAGGCTGCCTTATGGTGTGGGAGGCCCAACAGGCACTTGACGAGTTCGGTTTGCCAACCCACTGAGCCAGAGCTGAGTGCCTTTGAGCTGACACATATGACAGTGTCATCCCTTTGAGCACTTATCCGCAGCCTTAAAAGTTTTGTAACATTACATGAGCAGGGCAGAGGCTAATGGGCCATGTGGCTGAAAGGCTAAAGACCAGAGAGAGTCTTGTCCAGGGCATGATTGACACAAGGCTGCCCAGTTCAAATAACTGTATCAAGAGCACTTGCAATCTGTTAACTTCTGTACTAAACCTGATAACGACGAGCATTGTTTGTGAGCTCTGTGTGGCCATTGCAATGAGTTATCAAACCCAGCTGAAAAACAGAGCTTGCTGCAGGAGGGATGGAAGGAGTATTTCCATGCAGGAGAGTTGGTAGGCTGGCTGGAGGGTGGGGTATGTTTCACCCCAATCTCATAGAATTTGTGCTTGGGTGCAGGGGAAGATAGTGTGCCACAAGAGAAGTCAAAGGGGCATGTAGGGCAAGCTATTGAGGGGATTGACAAGTAGCTCAAGGTCTCGAATACAAAACTGATGATCTGAAATGTAAACTTCTAGCTCATTCACAATAAAAAATTTTATTAAAAAATAAACGGGCCTAGGGCAGCTGATGACAATGGTGGTGATTCTTCTGCTTCCCATGTGCATAGCCAGAGGAGCTCAGA